TGTCTTACATAACAAGTCCATCAACAGCCACTGGTACTGGTAGCATGGTCAAAGTTCAGGTTCGAGTGGACGAACAGGACCCCCCACAGTTCAGTCGCTTAGCAACCTTGGCTGGTGTTACTCCACCAATGACAGATGCAGAAATTCAACAGTCAGAACGGAGGAAAATACGATCACAATCGAAGAAAGAGAGGACCAGCTCAAAATTGGAAGTAATAAGTAAGAAAGATGGTTATTATCTGCTAGAAATAATAAAACTATTTTGTTTCATTAAAGAGCAGTTTTCAAATGGGTGTCGGTAGTAATCTTTGATTTGCTTGATTTCGATGTCGCCACTCTCTCAACCAATCAGATGCAAATATAACATCAATTGCGACTTGGTCGCCCGCGTTTTCCGCGCTTTGAGCTTTTTGCTTGTTTTTACATTGAGTTTTTATTGGTTTTTAAAGGTATTTTCCTTTGTTTTGATTACTTTACTTTTTAGATGTAAGACACTCAATCGGAAATTTCCTTAAGTCTGTTACTTGGAGAGCTGCTTAAGCTATAAACATTAAACGGTTGTGCTACAGAACACAACACGCAGTCGGCCGTTCACGTTACAGATGCTGTGAAAGTCATTGATAAATACGAGTTTGACTTTCGCCTGTCACCCGTAAGACTAATCTCGGCCGCCCAATTCACCATAGACAGCCACTTAAGGAAAAAGCTACTGAAACACTTGCAGTTATTAGCCGTCAGTTTTTGAATGTAAATGATTGAAACGTTTTGCTTCTTTACAGGAAAGAAAACATCCAATGCCAAGACCAGCCCATCCAAGAAGGACCTTGCCTTGGCTGCAGCACACACCAGAACTCATGGAACAGCAGCGCTCTCGGTGAAGATGTGCACGTTTTTTTCTGGTGCAAAATCGACGACGACAAAACTGGGAAAATCCGTGGGCACTATAGAAGAACTTCTGCTTTCTGTATCACTTGACAATGATCTCTTGTCAGGAATTCAGAAGCGAGTGCTCAACCCCATGGTAATAAGAGTGTCATCGGCGAGTGAACTGCCTTGTAAACCAATGACGTATATGCAACTCAGGGAAAAGTGAGTGTGGTTTTAGAATTTAGTTAGCGGGAAAGGATGTTTTCACGAAATTTCCTTCGGTCGGAGGCCGTTAAGATACGAAAATAAAGAAAAATAATTTCGTAAAAAGACGCTTCAAACAGCCCATGAAGGCTACAAAATACCACGAATGAGTTGATGAACATTTTGTTTAACTTTATTGAGATATTCAGACCGAGATGTAATTTTGACATGCAATTTTCAGAACTTTATTCATAACCCTCAGAGATTTTGTTCGTCTCGCGTCAACAATTATTAACCACGAACACATCGCGTGGTCTGCTTGTGGTTGCATGAAGCAACTGCTAGTTTTCCTGCTTGCCTTGGAAGACATAGGGTGCCATTTCATCTCAGATAACCCTTGAAAATTCGTCAAATTTCCCTGAGTTTTTTTTTTTTACCTGCCTATTTATACTAATGGGAGGTAGTTTGTTCAAGAATACAAAATAATGCCCCAGTCAGAGTTAGAACTAGGACCTCTCTATCTGAGATTATTGTGTTAGTCTGGAGTTACCAAGTTCTCCTTAATTCATTCAAGCAGTCACAAAGAATGACCAAAAAATCCGGCGAATGTTTTTATTACAAAGCTTTCAATTGTGTTCCCCGTGCAAGAGGACAGGCATAATAGCTCTGCAACATTTTACTCAACCATCTGTATTTTATTTATCACAGATGCAAACCAGTGCACGTGTCATACCAATTTTACGAACAGCCCTTACACGAGAGCGCAGGTAGGGAACACGGGAGTGACGTCTTCTGGGAAGATGTGAATGTGGTCCTTCTTGGGACATTAGACAAAAGTGGTCTCGCAGAGTACCTCCAGGGGCCCCATTTCCAAATCGAGGTCCACGACAGGGACCGTAAAATCGAGCCAAAGAAACCCAAGCCCAGTTTGTTTGGTGAGAACCCGGAAGACGAGATGATCAATAACGTTAGCTTGGTGGCAGGTATGATAATTGGAGTTTTCACGAAGTGGAAGACTCCTTTTTTTTTTTAGGAAAGCCTATCGTTACAATCGCAACTCGCGTAACACAACTGGAGAGACGGAGGTAAAATCTGTTGAGAAACGTATGACGACTAACGAGAATCTTCTTCTCAAAGAGAAAAGTGTAGCGATATACAACAATCATTCCGCGTGAAACGCGATACGTTTGCCAAGAAAGTCTCGCAACAAATCCAACGCCTCTTGAGAGAAACGAGAAGTGCATCACGAGAAATGATAGATCCCTCGCGTGGTACTAGAGGGGAGGTTATAGTCAGAATTAAAGTGGACTTGATATTTGATAGCGGAGTTCGTAACACGCGCAGCGAAGCCCCATTCCTTAAATTATAACTGTTCTTTGATTTCAGGTCGTCGCACCACTCACAATCCATTCACAAGCCGTAATAAGCCATGGGACCCGTACGGCATTGCCAAGTTTGATCTGTCAGGGTTGTTACTAGGTCACAAGTATCTGTATCTAAGGTCGCCTATCCACTGTTGTCCTCTGCCGGATACTCGCTCAGGGCTGGAGAAACCAGAAGGACCCATATTGGGTCAGCCGGGAAATGTGGACGCACCAGGTATGGTATTAGTAACTGATATATGATGACAGTGTTCGCGCGCTGCATTCCGGATCGAGAGATCTGGGTTCGAATCCAGGATTTTGTGGTGTTTTCATGGGATAGACGTACACTCTGACAATGCCTTTATCTATCCAGGAGTATGAATAGGTGCCGGCGCACTGTCAGGGTTATCGACGAAATGTGTCGGGGAAGGCAGCTACCTGAAATAGACTAACATCTCATCCAGGTTGAGTAACGATACTTCTAGTTTCTTCTTGCTCTGAAATCAGGGATAAGGACTTGCAGGAGTTTATCTCAGAGGGTTATCCCTGGGGTTTATCCCTGGGGTTTATCCCTGGGGTTTATCCCAGGAATGACCTGGGTCATTAGCACTAGCCTTCCATCCGGAGGGAGTAGCAATGGTCGTAGTTGCCTCATGCAACAGAACTGGAGTAAGCCCCGCCAGCTCTACGAGTTAGTCTCGTTTACAGACGTTTTCATCTGTTGTGAAATTTGATTATATTTTAGAGGACAAACCCATGCCTGTAGCTAACTATCTGGAGGCTGGTAGCGAACTAAAAATTAAGGTCGACTTGGCTTACCCTCTGAATGCCACTGAAGAGGAGAAAAAAACTGACGAATCTATTGAAGAGGAAATGGTAAGAAGATAGAGAGAGAAAACTCGATGGAAATTATTTCATTGAGGCTTCTGTTTTCCCTTCTATGAATCAAACGAATTATTTCATTGAACGTTTGCAGTTGTCTTAAATCGCATTTCTTGTGTAACGTTCCTTTTATCTCTATCCAGTGTCCATTCGGTCGAATTATCTATATATTTGAATACAAGAACGCGCCTTTTCTCCGACAACTTCAGTCCGAGATCACAGCTGTGAATGCGGAGGCACTGGAACTAGATACTCTTCCACAGCATGTGATCGAGGCCGCTCTCTCAACATACAAGTTGTCCAAGTAAGTTTTTAGAGATATTTTCAAGGTTAGTCGCTTTTTCCATCGAAAGAATGGATGTTGTAATCCTTCATAACTTATGATTAAAGTAAAACTGTATTTGTCAAAATGGGCGTACGTTAGTTGGTGCGAGCAATAAGATTTTAAGCCATTGTTGATATACCTTGTGTCAGGGATCAGAGTTTTCTTGTTCATTAGAATGTTTAGTCGAGTCAGTGTGCAAGATTTTTTAGTATTTTCCTCTCCTAGTGCGTTCTGAAAACAGTGGGTTTTTTCATATCTTCTTTTCAGAGAACAGAGAATAAATAAGAAACTGGATATTATTACGGGATTTCAGGTGAGTTTCTGAATTTTTTTGTTGTTCAATTTAACAACCCTTAATGTACTCAACAATGGTTTGGAAAGAACTGAGTAATAGAGCAATTTTCAGTTGGTTGTTGACAGTAATCAAGAACTGCTTTGGTTTTTGCCTTGGTCTGGGATTGGTAAAGAAAACTCGCGCCACTTTCTCAACCAATCAGATTTAAAACTAAAGCAAATCGCACCTTGGTAGTCCGCGTTTTCCCGCGCTTCAGGAAATTGCTTGTTTTGCTTGAGTTTTCATTGGCTCTTTGTGATATTTTCCTTCGTTCTGATTGGCTGCTTTGATAGCTCTGGTTTTGGTTTTACCACACTCGATCGAAATGTACTCTAAACAGGATGAAGACACTCTCATTTTATTTGAGACTAATCTGCCTTACCTTATCAGTATGCATTGTAGACATGAATCTAGCTTCATTTTATTCCTATCGTTTTTAACCCAGGTTCTAGACGGCCAGTATCATATATTTGTGTTAGAAGGCTTGACAGAAAAAGGAGTAAGACGACTTTGGGAAAAACTTCCCAGGCCACAAGAGGAAGGTAGGATAACACTACATGCCTTGACCCTTTCACTCCTATTCTCTTCACTGTTGCCATTCAATTTTGGAGAGTTTGATATTGAGTCAACTAAGAAACCAGTCATTATTTATCAACTGGGGAGAAGGATCCCCCCTATAAACCTAGAACTTATACCCCCTCCCATCAATTTTCTAGAGTCCCCCTTTATACGTTGTAGGCGATGACAATTCCCCCCCATGATAAATCGTGATAAATCGTGATTGGTCTCTAAACATTAATTTTTGTGACGTTTATGGACTGGTTTACTTGTTTATACGACCAACTCACAGAAACTCAAGGGAACACCTTACCTGCTGGCATTTGTACCATACTCACGCTTACTGAAATTATTTCTTCAGATATCACCAAATTCAACGTTCTCTACAACTCTGACCTGAGATCCCATGAGCGGCTGTATGCAGCGCTCGATGTGGACTTGTGCCGAGTCAGACTTCACGAGCCACTCGAGGTCATAGTCC